CCATCCTCCAGCTGCTTGCCAGCGAAGATCAAACGCTGCTGATCTGGGGGAATACCCTCCTTGTCTTGGATCTTGGCCTTCACATTCTCAATGGTGTCCGAGGGCTCAACCTCCAAGGTGATGGTCTTGCCAGTCAAAGTCTTGACGAAGATCTGCATATTTCTCTTTTCTACAAAAATTAAGAAAAAGAAATTTTGGAAATAAATTGGCTTGTATGTATGTGCAAGGAAATTGAGAAATCGATTTAATGCAAGCTGAGGTCATGCTGACGCATGCAGCCCTGGAAGATTTCATTTGAATACTGTGCTCGAAGTGCGCAGAGAATTTTTCTGCGCCGTGACCTGCTTTCGTAAATTGGCACAAATGGCTGCGCACAATAAAATAGTTTATAGCAATAATCAATGTATACATACTATATGTATGATCCACTTAATTTCACCACTCCAAAAATATATAACGAAGAATGACTAATCAGTTTTTTCTTTTTCTAATCACCTCTGCAATGCATGAGTTTAGATATATACGCATACATGCATACAATATATACATACATATATGTATTCAATAACTGCACTTGTTCTTTGTCCGACGCCATTTTTGAAGTGTGAAAAATATAAAATGGCGTTTGCAACTACGCACTTACAGTATACCTCAAAAAAATGGGCAATTGAAATTATAAGCAATAAAGAAGGATCTAAAATATAGCAACTTAAAAGAAAATATTTATTAGATATAGTTTTCCCCCAATATATGCATGTAAATGCCCATTATAGACGTACATATGCCCATTATATATGTATGTGTGTGTTCGTGTGTGTATGCATTGCATTGCACAATTTTCTTTGTTCTTAAATGCAGTTATAATTTTTTAACGAAGACTAAAAATGTGGAGTTTTCTAGATACTCGCGAAGTTCTCTTTCAATAGATGCACTTATAAATATGTACGTACCTCTTTTTTGCGTTAGTTTACAATAATTTGAATCAAGTATTGAAATAAATTTATTCTTGCACTTTTTCTTGTAATTGGAAAATATGCACTAAGCACGTCTGCTTTGGCTGAGCACTGCCTTACGAATAAGCAAAATGTAGTTCACAACAGAACTGGTGTTTTTCGATTTTCTCCACTATTTTAATAACATTGGGTTATCGGAGTAAGGTTGCCAAATAAAAGTATCGGATGTGTTAGTAGATTGATGCTGTTAAGCACTTGTAGTCTGGTAATGTTAAATTATAGTGCTGTTAGTTGAAAAGGCTATACGATTATTGAAAACAGAAAACAATTTTTTTGAAATTGTCATATAAGCGTTAGACTACTTATGCATCTGCATATTACAAACGTCTAAAATATGACCAATATTATTATTAAATATATGCTAATACAAACGTATTTTTGTCATAATGGCGCTAAATGAAAAATGCCGATAAATTATATGGTATCGCAAATAAATTCAAAAGCCTAAAAAATGCAACTATTTTATTAAAGTTAGATCTGTAAGATGTGATATTTAAAATTTAACACTTGTACATTTTTAGAATATTTATTTATTTAATAATTATTCCAGTCGATAATGGAAAGTGGATGATTTCAAGTATTATCTTCCCTGGCGAGCCATATCGATAATGCGGAGCACTGAAAAGTATTTCTAATCGAATAATCAGAAGCAAAAACAAAGCCAAAAGGGGCGGACGTCAAGCGCTCGGTACGCGTAATTTTTTGTAATTACTCATTGTCGCCTTCAGTTAATTTTCGGAAGTTGTGTTGACCGTTGACGACAGCAATAAATAATTTTTGTCCACCTTGCCAAACAATAAACAATAAACATTTTAGTTGTATTTATATAAATATATATTCAGATATATATATAATTTTTTCTTTATTGCCAAGCGAGAAACTTCTTTGTGTGTGTGTGTGTGTGTGCATGCAATTGTACATTTGGGTTTTATATTTTGTTTTTCATTCTCATTCTCAAAAATTCTAAGTGCTTTTAAATTGTGAATTTTATTTTGTCTATGTGTCGGAAATCAAAAATAATAAATTTAAGTTTTTAGTCTATCGATATCGGTTAGCTGAAATTCGCTGTATATTTTTCTGATAAACAACAAAAACAACCCTGCGCGAACACACAAAAAGCATATGCAAGAGCGCAGCAACATTAAAACCCGCCCCAACGCGTCGCTGTCGCCGTCGTCGTCGTCATCATCATCCGCAGCGCAGCCACTGCCATAGACGGCAGAAGCAAAACCAAAGGCACGCTTACGTTACGCGCTTGCTTGTGGCGTATCGATGCTTTCGAGTTAACGTGTCGTCTCTGTGTGTGCGTGCGTCTGTGTGTGTATGTGTCTCGGTGCTTGTGCTGGATTCTTATAAGAACATTTTTGACGATTTTTAGCAGTGTGTGCTAATTTTTTGTTAATTTTTTTTTGTGCCATTGTCAATTGTTTGCTTTTGCAGTTAATTAAATTTAATCTTTTTCTTCAACAACAACAGCAGCAGCAACAACAACTAAAACACAAGTGGCAGTGTTTGTTGGTGTCGGCAGAGAGGAAGATAGCGTTCGCATACATATGTATATACAATATATCAATATATATGTATACGCGTGTGAGTGTGTAAAAGAAAGACAGTGAGAGAAAATATTCAAAACCAATTTGATAACCAACTAAAAAAGGAAAGGAAACGAAAAGAACGTAACAGAAGTCGCAGTCAGCAGCAGCAGAGTGCAGCAAACATCGAGCAGCAGCCAGTGGCAGAGACTGAGACGTCCTCATACCTAAGCGCTGTTTACGCAGCAACAGTAATTAACTGTAAAACGTAACGCAAGTTCACAACACAACCAAACTCGATCGTGTTTAAAAGAGAGCGGCAAAGCAAGAGCAAACAAGAGAGTGACAGCGAGAGATTGAAAGGCCAGTATCAGCAAATTCGCCGTCTTCGTTTACGTCTTCATCTACGGCTACGTCACCATGGACAACTTAATTCCGATCGTCAATAAACTGCAGGATGCATTCACATCGCTGGGTGTGCACATGCAATTGGATTTGCCACAGATTGCTGTTGTTGGAGGACAGTCGGCTGGCAAGAGTTCAGTGCTGGAGAATTTCGTGGGCAAGTAAGTGTGTTTCTCAACCGTTTTTGGATTGTTTTTTTTTTTTTTTTTTTTTTTTTTTTTTTGTTTCTTTACTATCAAGAAATACAGACAATAAGAAAATCCATATTTTTGCGCGAAAGCATTGATGTCTCTACATATATATAAGAGAGTTGTAAGTGTGTGTGCGTGCGCTAGGCTCTCGCTCTCAGTGTTTGCGCACAACACGCACACATATATGTATGTATGTGTGTGTGCGCGTGAATTTTGGTGAATAATCAATGAAGCAGCATTCCTGGTTTTTGTTGTATTTTTTTCTTCGTTCTGTTCGGTCAGTGGGTGTTTTGCCAGAAGCAGGAGGTGGCCATCAATAATTTCCCCTCTCCCATTAATATAAATGTACACGCTGTGTATATAGAAACTAGTAAATGCGCATACAGTTGTACATGGTCAGCGTTCTGTTGGCAGTGGCCGCAACAGTATGACAACCACCTTGCACATAGTTTAATATATACATATGTACATCTACACATGTTTATATAAAAGCACGATGAGCATGGTATAAAACAGTTGGTGGCGCTTGCATAGAATCATCGCTGCTGATTAATGTTGAGTAAGCTTTGCAAGCGTATTACGCATGTACTTATAAAAACACACGCACACATACATATGTTTAGATAAATACAAATGTGCATATTTATGCTGGAACTTAAAAGTTTCGTCAAGTGCCATAAACTCGCTTCCAATAAAAAGGGACAATAACAGTTACAAAAGAAGAAAAAACATATTTATCAACGACACTGTGCTCTCTCCCATTTTGTTTTTCGCTCTCCCACTCTCTTAAGCACAAGCACAGCACTTACTTCGTTTACTCTGTGATACCGTTTTAGTTGGGGGCCTTTTTCGCTGGCTGCGCAGCGCTCATTGCGCTTCGTTCGT